CTGCTGAAATTGTATTAATAAGGGCCTTTGATAAATCTACTAGAATTTGATACACCATGCCGTGATAGTGATGATTGCCTGAAAGCACAGGTGCATGTACACACACACATGCAGAGAGCAGGGGGTAGCGAGTGAAAGAGCTGGGCTCCTGATGTGGATAGCTGTCTCCTCACTCCTGTCTTATTTCGCTTTTAGTTTTTTAGGTTAAATATCCAGCTTGCCTGCTGACTGGAACACAAATAACCATCTTGCTTGCATCTAAATACCAGGTGTGATGCAGTACTCTGCTGCAGGTCAACAGGTTTCTTTTAGTGAAGACTTCAAGAGCCAAATTCTTGGGAATTTCGTTATTAAAAATAAAACATTTTTGTCCTGCAGCTAAGTAGATTTTAAGTTTAATCCGTGGCCAAAAAGACAAGTGGATCTGTGAAGAAATCCAGATATACCTGCTGAGTGGAGGTTGCTGAGTGAAAGTAAGGCTTTAGCTGTTTGAGGCATTCAGTCAGCCTCTAGTTTCTGTTGTAATAGGTTGGATTTTGACCAAATGCTGTCTGGCAACTTAGAGTGCGTGGAGAAGATCCCAACTGCTTGATGTTGTGGTGTCAACGTTTTTTTAGGTGCTGGGTTCATACCAGCAAGGCAGCTGTGTCACCAGAGAGATATATGACATCTATTGCTTTTCCTGCCTGCCAGGTCCCTGCTCGCTCTGTGACAGGAGGTGAAAATACGGCTATGCCTTCGCTCTGTCCTCTTCAGAAACGAACTGCCCTCAGGAATGCTAGCCCTGAATAAAATGTAGTTTGCTCAGGCACACCAAATGTAGCCATGGCGCAAGGGCGGAGGAAGGGAACTCAGCTTGGGCTTAGGCAGATTCTGGCACAACATGGTCGGTAGGTAACCAGCTGTTGGGCTTTTCTGGTGATCCCTTTGCTTACTGGTGATCCCTAACAAAGCAAGACCCTTTCTAAAAGAGAGTTGGGGATTGCTTAGTTCTCAATAGTGGTACCCAGCTGCTTAACGAGTTAAATCTAATAGGAAGAGACAGACAGTAGCATTTGGTTTCCCTATTTATATTTTAAAACAAGACAAATGTTTTTTCAAGTCATTTTGCTGTAAATGAGTCGTTTCCTCTTCCTGTGTTGTGTCCAAGTGTATACCCCAACCTGATCATGCATGAAGGACACATTGATTTTTGCAGACTTGCAGTATTGGCTGAATACTCTGCATACAGAAATGTTTGTTAATCTTCAAAGTGGAACTGCTGTGTCCTGAGCTTCTGTGTTTCTGGTGGATTTATGTGTATCAGGTTAATGAGCTTCTCTGGACAAATTTTAAAGAACTTTTTTGAGATGGTTGTGTGTCACTTCCTGGTCTGAAACTAGCACGTGGCGACACTGCATTGACTGCCTTCAGTGTTACAGTTGCAGCTGTGGCATAATACCTACAAGCATAAGCAACTATTTGCCCTGTTTAACTTCTTACAGAAAGTTTTATTTGGGAAATGGTGTGGGGGTTTACACATGCAGGCACATAAGTGTTTCCATATTGACTTATTCTAATTCTTCTAATTGATAGTAGACTCTGCTTTTCTGTTAAAACATTTAGCAAACAGGAATGTGTGTTAGGAATACAGCTGATAAAACTACTTGTATTAAAACTGCATAATAAAAAGGCACAATAATAGGTTTTTCCATTTCAATCGCAGGTGTCATGGTTTGTGGTACTGTCAATCTGTCGTCCTTAATTTAGACCATGTGACAGGAACAGCCACTTTGTGAGTGCCCGCTTCTTGTGGTTTGTAGCAAATGGCATGAATACCGGAAGGTTAAAGATATGCATCCATTTAATTTAAAATCTCATTTAGAGGTGCATTTTTTGCCATTTTCCAGGCAGTTTAGAGACTCCGCCAGACTTAGTGGCATCATCCCACTTGATGATAGAGGAAGAAGGTGGATGATAGGAGAGTTAGACTGGTCCAAGATTGGTCTATTTTCAGTTAGTGAGTTACCTGCAGAGTGAAGTGCCGCAGGATGCTGGGCATGCTGGGCACAGACGGTTCCTTCTGGCGTCTCATAACCCTTGGGCCCGGCTTGTGGGCTTTCCCCTTACTCATCAAAATTACTTGTCAGAAATTGCTCAAATGGGATTGTAATTTTGAATTTTGAAAATGAAATTTTTTTGTTACTTTTATTTTATTAATTGGTGGCTTAAGGGGTTGTATCTTCAGGCACTTGTGCTGCTGGCCCCTGTCACTTGGCCTCTGTCTCCTGGCCCTTCCTTTCCTCGGTGCTCCTGTAAAAGTCATGAAGGTACAAACCAGAGGACTTCTTTAAAATGTTTGGGTATATAATGAGGTTTGAGACTTTCCTTCTGTTTATTTGGCTTGGGTGTTTTTTACTGGTTTGCAAAGTACCTCCCTTGGTCACACTGCCTCAGTCTCATTTAGATAACTTTTTTGATCTTGAGGAGTAGGTGATTTTTAAAAAGAGAGAATTGTAGTTTCCATTATATTTGTGTGTAAGGGAAAGACCAAACATCAAAGGACTGAAAAAGCATTTTGTTGGGGTTGTGCTCAAGGATTTTTCAGGTACGTTCAGACAGGAATTCATTTGGGTTACCTGGTTAGTGTTGCAAAAAAATCTCTTCTTAATTTTCAATATGATCCTTGGAAAGAGTTTCTTTCTGTAAAATTTCTCATAAACAAGTTTCACCAACTAAACAGGTGCTATAATGTGCGGAGTGTGGCATCAACAGCTCTGTTTTCTGTAGGGTAGCGACGTCTTTAAACACAGAATTTGCCTCTTATGGTGTAATTTTACTAGGGTGCTTTTTTTCCTTGAGGACTCTGCTTCCCCTTCCTGCTTTTCCCTGCTGTAGATCTGTTCGGGTTGTAGTGTTTTGAGTACCTCGATCTCTCTAGGTTTTTAGCCTTTTTCTTTCACTTCTCTTGAGATCGGTAAGCGCTTGTGGCTGTGGGTTTTCTGGCAGCTCGCTCCTTCCCTGAGCGCGGGTGACCTCAGGCCTGCTCAGCCTCGGGGTGTTGCCCCGTTCCCCTGCGGCGAGGCCTGCCCGCCTCGGGGCCGCTCTCTGCGCCCCTGGGGGGAGGCAGCAGGGGGTCTGGGTCTGCTCCTGCAGCAGGAGGCCCGTTTGCTGCCTCTCCCAGCTCCTCCATCTCACCCCTTCCATGTCCCCCGAGATGTCTCGGGAGCCGGGAGATGTCTCGGGAGCCGGGTGAGTGACGTGGAGGAGGCAGCAGCAGCAGGAGGGATCCAGCTGACCTCACATAACGCGCCATGGTTATTCTAGGCAGGAGGTCTGATGCAGAAAATGTTTGAAAAATGCATCAAATATGTTCTTTCTGAATAAACACATGCCTCGAACCCTTGATTCTTATAAGTGTTCATCTCCTTGCTTATTAGGTCAAAAGATGTTTTGCCAGTTCAACTGGATAAAACTGAGCTTGCCCGGTAAATGGAAGAGAATAAATCTGTCTTTCTTTGGGAACCTCCCACTGCCTCCAAGAGCAACTTTCTGCTGCTCCTCCAGCTTCTCGGCTGTGGAGCTAGGTCAGCTGTAGTCAATACTCAAGCATCTGATCCAGGATTAAGAAAAAAATATGGTAACAGATGAAGAAGAAATGGGATATTGCTTGTTGAGAAGGAATTATTTCGTTTTCCCTGTGGAGACAATAAGCCCTGTTGTAGTTAGAAGCGTAGACTGGGCTTGTCTTTCACATCTTGTGCAAAGGGTCCTCTCTGAAGTGAGCTGACGTGCTGGATGAAGTTGGTTGCACAACATATTCAGGAATCCAAACCGTCATTTTTTTGCACTACATTCTGTTTTCAGAAAAGCTTTTAACTTTCTTGTCTCTGAGGAGGAAGAAGCAAGACTGCCAGTGACGCTGTGTGCTGCGGCTTGGCTCCAAGTTAAGAGGACCCTGAGGTCAGTGGCGTTAAGGACTCTCGGGGCAACCAATTACCCTTAATGAAGATGATAAGATAAAAGCTTCAGAATTGCTTCTGAGGGCCTGGTCCTGCCAATGCATATGTTCTTGTAACAGATGACTAGCTCCACTGTGCCAAAAGATGAGCAGGTCTTGTCTTGGAAGGAGTTGTTGTTCTGTGTCTTACGTGAAAACCTCATCCAAGTCCTGCAGTTACACTGCCTACAACTGTTGAAGAAATTGCCTCTCCTTCCTGTGTCCAGTGGGTGCGTTTTGTGGATTTTTGCCCCATTTTGGGAAGGACCGTGGTGTATTGCTGCGCTATACAGTCAAAGCTTTCTCTTCCTGGCCATAGACTTGGGTCACTGCCAGACAGTGGCATGGCAGCGTGCTGCCTAATGAGCTTTCACATGGAAACGAGAACTGTAGGCTGACCCTTCTGTTTGGCCAGCTTCTCTTTACATTTCTTCCCTTCTAGCTTCCTGGTTTGTTGTTGTGACCTCACCTAAAAAGGCTAAGCATTCAGCTTCCTTCAGGATCCAGCATCTGCTCAGAGAGTACTGAAAGCAAGGTACTCTCTGAGTTCAAACCCAGGTGCCATTTACACTTCTCCAACTTGCTGTGTTGCTGAAGACCCATACTGTCAAACTGTGTATGGGTATGGCTTCTGCACTCCTGTTCTGAGTAAAATGGAATTCTTATTACATTTTGACTTCAAAAATTTGCCTCTGTTCTCTCTTTTTCATAATTCATTACAGTGCCAATCAGTATACAAAATCCTTTGCTGCTGTAAAGGCTGTGTAGGGTCTTGCTAGTTTATGTCAGTAGCAGTTTTGGTCATCTGTACTTCAGTTTGCTTGAACCCTGGTACATATATACTGTGTCTGATGTTATCTGCTGCCAAGGCAGTTTTCTCTCATCTTTGGAATATCTATGTATACTGTCATATTTATACACATAGCACTGCTTTCACTAGAGAGGTGCTTTGGTATGGTTGTGCATTTAAAAAAAATAATAAAAAGAAAGAAGAAGCTCTTTGACATACTTATGTAAACTTTGGCAGATATATTTTAAAAATAAATGCTGGATTAGTTTGTCTTTTATTTGCTTGTCAACGCCTGAGTTCAATATTTGGCCCTGGAAGAGCTGTGAATGGCTTAATTAACAGCCAAAGCAGAGCACTGGCAGGCAGGTGTTTGGATTGTGTAGGAGTTTGCTGATAAGAGTCTTTACTGGAGGGGAAACGCAAGGCTTTGATCTATGCTATTGGCCAAGAAAGGTTTTCAGGTTCCTTTTTTTGCAACATGTTAGGGTGTATACAAAGAATCTGAAGGTGCACATTCATATTAAATTATTTGCAGTTTTTTTCCTGTGTTGTATTTTTTATTTTAGAAATAAAATTGCTTCAGGTACAATTTTGAGTTGCTTTCTTTAAAATCAAACAAAAACTTTATTTTCCCTAAAATCTTTCCACCAACTTCTTTCCTGTCTTGCTTATATCTCTACCTACGCTTATATTTTGTTCGTGTCTTGAAGCCCAGCAGAATTAGAGCCCAGTAGAACTGTTTTTTGTGACACAGTGGGTATATGAGAGAGATCTAGGTAGGTGATAAGGGTATAATAAAAGTGCAGTGCTCCTTTTTCCCTTCACTTCAGTGTATAATTCATCTGGGTTTTGCAGTTTGCACAGTGATCATTGATCAAGTGTTAACTCCCTCCTCTTGTCATAAAACTGCAAAGCCAAGGAAGGCATGGTAGTCTTTCGTAGGCTTCCCATTATTTGAATAAGATAAACCTCTTATTATCAGAGACTGCTTTGATCTAGTGTGCACAAACTAAATATGCTCTTTGCTTCAGGGAAATATAAATAAGGAGGGAAGCTGCCCTGAATTGCTGTGTGGGTTAACCTAAAGTAGGTTACTTTGTGGCGTGCAGGAGGATTTCCAAGTTATGCATAGGTGCAAAGGTAATGAGCTTGTTCTATCATGAATTAATGTATATGTATCCTGTATAATTATGTCAGTGCATTTAATGGGTAAATTTTTAAGGGTTTTCCTAATGGTGCATTATTGAGATGCTAAGTCTTAACACTGAGTAAGCTAGTAATACCTTTATTTTCTTTTTCCTCTTTTAATAGAGACCCTCGACCAACCAACCAACGTGTCAACAAGCACGTAAATAATGACACCTATCTTCGGGTTCAAAACCTGACCATCTTAGTCAGAAACATTAAGACTTACTATCAGGTGAGACTTCTGCTCTCTGCTCATTGATTGCTGTAATGTTTCAGCTAGTGCGGGGGCTGGTGGCTCAAAAAGAAGCTTGCTACAGAAAATGGAGAGGAAATTGTGTTTGTGTAAAAGTACTTTCAGCCATGCTTTCCTTATGAAACAACAATACGGCTACCTTCTCTATCCCTCATGGCCAGAGGCTGCTTCCTTGCCCTCCTCTTTTTTTAAAGAAGAAATTGTGTTCGAAGGCTATGACAGCACTTGGAGATACAGCACTTGGAGATGTAGTAAAAAGGCTCTTGTGATGGGGTTGTGGGGTGTGTATATGAAGGGGTTTGCTGAAATTGGAATAATGTTTTTGGGTATAAAACTTGTTTAAAACAGGTAACCTTCTCTTGAAGGGACTGCTCGCAAATAAATCATTATGAAGAAATGTCTTTAATGATAGTATATCAATTTGAGGTTTCTATTCTATTAATTACGAAAAATAAATTTGTGCTTATCTTGAAGGTAGACTTCTTGTGCTGTATACCTGTTTTTAGGTGTTAAAGCAGTTGTTCGTTCTGAACTCCTTCTCTAAGAGACTTAAGTGCAGGAATGACTGCAAATTCTCACAAGTAGTGCACTTCTTGGGCAACATCCTTGAACTGACCGTCAGTGTTCCTCTGCTGTAATAGTGCTCCTCTAAAACCAAGGTGGTGACAGCTGAGCACTCTTCAGATTTAGATACATGTTGTATGCTGCTGGAAAGCCATAGGAGTTAATTCAGTTACTCTAAATAGAATTTCTGTATACGCATGTTGTGTATATTTAGACTCCTTAGTGAGAGGGGTAACTGTTCTACTGTTTCCTTTTACACATCTTTTGCCAGATTTGAGTGCTGTGCAGTATAGACCAGTCTGAAACTACTGAGGACTGTTAAAATGCTCCTCTGCATATGTGTCTCAATCATATAATGGACAAAACAAGTCAGCGTGCTCATTCTCGACACTTCATCTTTTCTGTGCATATAGAAGAGACTGTCTATGGGCTTTGTCTTCAAAATACAGAAGAGATGTAATGCTTAACTACAGTCAGAGCTTTTGATGCCGTTCTCTTGCAGAGCTTGCCTATTGCTATTCCATGTAATTGCCACAACTCTGCTTCTGGACTTGCTTAGGGAAACCTAAAAGAGAGAGGGATTTTTTCAGAAGTCACATGGGGTGGATGACTCATCCGTGCAAGTTCCAGTGGCCTGCTAGAAAAATGAAGTGTGTAACTCAGGTTTGAGATGATGTAGGAGGGTATCATGTATTTTTTAAGACAGCTGACCTGTGTCTCAATTGAGAGCTGGAGATGCTCATGCAATGTGATGCCATTCCTGAGACTTGCGATTTCTAAGGGCAAATTCCACTTGGTCATAACTAGAGGCTTGGGGTGGTTTTTTTTTTTTTGTTTCTCTGTTACCCACTGAACAGTGTAAATGTATATGGAGTCTACAAGGAAAAAGGACCATGTTTAAGGACAGGGACAGGACTAGTCTTTCTCCCTCTCCTCACTCCCACAAGGTTTACAGACTGAGAGTCTGGTCCTTCAGGTGTTGAAACTCTAGAGCTTTTTATTCATGTGAGTTCTTTGTCTTAGAGCTGATAATCTAACCTCTTTTAAAAGTATCTGAAGAGAGATCAGATTCAGGAAAAAGGAAAAGTGATTCAGAATCATGTGATGTGTTGCTTGGTGTCTTGTTGACCTTGCTGTTGAGCTGTGTAATCATAATCCAATAAAGCTAGCAACAACTAAAATAGGTTAAGACACAGAGTTTTCAATGGGAAACAGTAGTTGAGGCTTGCAGTAGCAGGCCTAACAGTGATGTTCCTGTTGTAGTCCAGAAATTAAGTACTATGAATCTTGCTGCCTGGAGAATATATACTGTATGTAAACAAAGCAGTTTTGAGAGCTGATCATTCTTTGCATTTGGCCCTGAAAATGTGTACTTACAACAAAGTTTAAAATAAAATCACATTTTTTTGTGAAGATAACATTATATAAGAAACTTATTTGTCCATGTCACAATCACATCTTCAGGACAAACCCAAGATCTCGATGTTAATGTGAGATTCCCTTTCATGTGGCGGTGTGCAGCCTTCAATTCTCCATAGTCTGGGAGGAGTTAAGGCCATCTATGCTGTAACCGAGCTCTGTGTGTGATCAATGCCGAGTATAACATCGTGTCTGTACTAATGTTTCTGTTACATATTTGGAGGGTTTCTTGTGTTTTAGGATCTGATATAAGTAGCTTTTACTAGTTTTTTCAACATACAACCAAAAGGATGCTTTGGAATATATTTAATATTGTTAGGCCTCTTCTCTCCTGAATGTTAGGGATTTTTTAAAATAGGTTGAAGTTGTGGGCATTGTTTGATGAAGTAGTATTAATACATTAGCTTAAGTTAAAATGAGGGTAGTGTCTTACTGACTGAAAACATACGATCAAATTTGGTTGCAGACTGAAGTGGGAGGGAAAAGTTCCTACAAACAATAGGAACACAAATTTGCTGCTTCCTCAAGAGAAACAAAAGCTCTAAAAATACAGTGTTGACCTTGACGTTTTACATTCCCTTTCACTTAATGGACCCAAGTCAAGTTTACAGCTTAGTTACTGAATTTGGTAGACCAGGTCTCCTAGAATGAGGAAAATACCACCTCATGCTTTATTGAAGGACTTCGGTAGGTATGAAAGAATACTTGCCCCTCTCTGCACTGGGCAGGAGCGATCAAGAATATGATGTGAATTCATGGTACTATAAACTGTATCTGAGGAAGGTGATGTAAGTGGCTACTAAAATTAACTCTGATATTCAGAAGCTAGTTGACATTTCGGATCATATAATTGTCTAGTATATCTGTATCTAATATCAGATTTCTTGTATATTTGTATAGCTAGTCTCTTTGTTAAAGCAAAATTCTCATTAATACAGATAATATTACTTCAGAAAACGAGGACAGGTCTAATCTAGAAGCGTGAATCCAGGTATTCTCCACAGTGCTGGGGCTTTCCTGATCTCTTAGTCTGAGGGTCTGCGCTGGGAATGACTGTGAACAAACCAGGTTATTGGTGGAATTTGGCTTTGGTTTAAGCCATAAAGATCAGTTCCTATCTGTGCTTCAGCAGGCATAACTCGGGAGGGGCAAATGCAATGAAGAAGCCTTTTTCCAGTTCAAGTAACCGCTCATTTTTAGAAGTTTGCTAACTGAATTTGTTCATTAAGAACTTTCTGAAGAGTTGCCTTCTCACAACTTTCAGCTGCATAAAACTGGATTGCTGATGGCTACTAGGAACAACATAGTGTCAAGACTCTTAAAATGGGGGTCAACATTGGTTGCTGCAGGCTTTGGTGTTTGTTTTTTTTTAATTGGATAGGTAATATTTGTTATGGTGGTAGCAGGCAACATCTCTGCATTTCCCGCTCTCTGAGCAGTTGCACCTTTGCAGGTCTGTTGGCTTGAGAGGCCCCTCTTTTGAAACCAGGCAAATGACTAATTTTGCTGTGGGATTTCATGAGCATTGAAGAGAATATGTCATTAATTGCATTTAACAACTGTTACAGGACTGGTTCACTGGAGAAACGGCTAGTCATAAAACTTCTGGAATTGGTGCTGTATCTTGGAAAAGGGCCAAGCATGGCAGAACGTGTTCATTGCTCATAGTGTGAGTTTATGTGTGTCTTCTTGCTCTGACTGAATTTGGACACTTGGCTGTCTTGAAACTGGAATTCAAAATGGTTTTGTAGACAATAGTTTAGCACAGAGAATTACAGGTTACTGTCTGTAACTGCAGTGAGGATGTTGATTAAAGGGGTCCGTAGAGAACTGAGTGTATTGGAGGAGAGACGCTCATCCACTTTTCACTGGTGCAGGTGTTGAGCATCCTGGTCAAAGGGTGAAGTCTTTATCATGTACTACATCTAACCAGTGCATATGGAACAGATTGACCTCCAGCTACTGTCTGCTGTCTTGCGTTGATAACATAGTTGGGAATGTCAGTCCTTAAGATGACACTGGCTAGCCCAGTGCAACACAGATTGAATTATCTTGCTATTCCTGAGCTCTGCCTTCACTTTGAAATGCTTCTGTTGTGAGCTGCACTATGGATTATCTACTGGCCCAATTAAATGGGCTTGAAAATAGTTCAGGTGTGAGTACTGCAAGACTGAATGATGTTTGGCTTCACTGAAATAACCACTCTTGACCCTTGTTGACAGTAAGGTGTTGTGGCCTTAATTCCCTGGGGCCTTGTGCTTCTTTTCCAAATGGTGATTAATCCCAGCTGTGGCAACTGTCTTCATAGTGGTGTGGCACTATCCCTGTTTCTGTCAGAGCTTGTTGGCTATGTTTAAAAAAGAAAAAAAAACCCAACAAAAAAAAGGAACAAAAACTCCTTAAGCTGCAACAACCTGTGCAAGAGCTATTATTATTACTGGTTCTGTCACTTCTGATGGTGGAAGAAGAAAGCTAGAAAATCTGAGGGGTGTTGGCCTATCCCTTTGCCGTGCTATAGAGAATATTTAAATCCTGTAGGTGCTGGTATTTGAAGTGTCCATGTAAGAACAGCTGCCCTGATGTCTGCAACACTTGGAGAACATGCTCAGACCTATAGAGTTTTGGAAGAGGCCTAAGGCAGGCTGGCAGGGGAAGCTTGAAGTGGCTTTGATGTGCTTCCTCTGCTCATGTGTCAATCTTTGTGTTTAGGGTTTTTCTAAGGAACTAAAAATCATTTTGATACCAGTTTATAAAAAATTAAATTTATGAGAGGATCTGTTTTGATGTCAGCTAGTTTCCTAACCTTCAAAAATGCCAGTAATCTCTCCAACGGTATATACTGCACTCTCAAGCAAAAAATTCGTACCATTTACATGAAAAAATTGAGGTTGATGGAGAGAAGAAGAAAAAAAAGAATGTGATCATCCTTTGGCTAGTCCCTGTATGGGAATTGTGGCCACATCTGCAGTATGTGGATGAGAAATGCTGTTGGAAGA